GGCCACACATTCTCCTCTCCAGTCTTTTGAAAACACATAGTCCCAGCACTCTGAGAGGCTGAGGCAGAAAGATTGCAGGTTTGAGCCCACCTGGGTAATTTAGTGACTTAGAGAGGCCTTATCTCAAATGAACAAACAAATAAATAAATACGTTTAGGGCAGCTAGGCTAGGGAGGTAGCTCAGTGTAAAGGCTCTGTATTGAATCCCCAGTACCAGAGAAAGGAAGGGAGAAGAGATAGGAGAGGGGAAGGGAGGGAGGGACGGGAGCAAAGCAGGGGGAAATGTGACATTTCAGCAAGCTACTGAGTGCTGGGAGCCTGCAAGACTTGCTCCCTCATTTTTTACAAAAAAAAGGGGGGGGGGTGGTGATGAAGAGGCAGAGGACAGAAGAGGGAAAAGTGATGTTAGAGCAGTTTTCAAGACATTTTAGAAAGATTTCTGATTTAATCAGCAGCATGAAAAGAAACTGGGAATCAATGCTTTCTCATTATGTCATTTAAGACACTACTTAATCTCATGAGTGGCTACTGTCTGCAACCACCTCCCACCCCAGAGAAAACCTAGTCCCCCACCCAAGTCCTGCCAGACAGAAACATCCTGCACTATCCTCCAAGGAAAGGCAATCTGTCCTAAATACTCAGTGGAAGAGGATATGTCATCACCCACAATAGCCACTATAAAGTTTCATTTTCTTATGAAATGCAAGGACAATTTCAAAGTAATGACATGTATTCTTCAAAATAAGTACTGTACCACGTCAACTTTTAACCCTGGAAATCTCTCCTGAAGAGGCTCTCCAATCGCTTATGGCTGTAAATTCTTTGATAATACATCAGGTGATTACATATCAATTGGGCAGGATAGGAGAAAACCTTATTAAAGACCCGTTTTTCAAGAAAGCAGGCATTATCAAGGAGCTGGGGCTGGCAAGAGCAGGGCAGGACAAACCATAGGAAACACTGGCAAAGGAGGAAGAAAAGCAGACCTTCTGCTGGATGTGGCGGCACATACCTGTAATACCAGCCCTTGGAAGGCTGAGGTAGAATTGCGGAGAGTTTGAGGACAGCGTGGGTTATAGAGTGAGAGTCCAAGACTGGCCTGAACTGCATCGCGACACCCCACCTCAAAAAAAAAAAGCAGACCTTCTGGGCATGGTTAGGGTCATCGGTAGGACCAACAGCAGCCTAAGAATAAAATTCAAATCACAGCCACCCCAAGGTAAATGAATGGCCCACACACTGGAAACCTCACACCTTACAATTCCCTGTGCCCAACATTAGATAAGGAAAAGTCCTGATTGACCCTGTCAGCCCATTGTGTGCTGGGCCGTGAAGAGGTGGGTCAAAGGAACCATGCCTAGAACCACAGTGTGCAGCATGTCGAGATAAATTGCTAACATACTGAATAGGCAAATGACCTACTCCACACCCAATCTGAAATGGGCTGAAACAAAGCCCATCTGAGGCCCTGTGTGATTAATACACAAATTGGGTAGGACAGTTGCCCTTAAATTTGGTCACCCAAAGTAAAATGCTCAATCACCAGAGTCTGTGGGCCTACTGGGATCTAGGGCCATGCTGGGTGCAGGCTGATGTCCCCAGACTTCCCAGTCTCCAAAGAGGATACAGTAGAGAGGAAGAAAGCCTCTGTCCCTCTACCCTCTTAGGTCCTTTGGTTGGGCCCTATAAATGATAGTGAAAAGATAGATTAGTGAGAGGAGAAACAAACAGCAATTTGTAAACCATACATCCAGCTTCCATACCAGAGCACTCAAGGGGGTATGTTAGAATTGGGGGTCTTCATTACCTGACAGAAGGAGGAGCGGGGAGAGGAAGCCCCTTGTGCACAAACAAGGGGTTGTTGGCTTCATAAAAGAGGTGGGGAAAGGACATGCTCCTGACTTGCTCTGTTTGGGTGACTTAGAGACTTCTGGTCTCCAAGAAGAGATTACAGGGCTGCTCCCCAGGAGAGGATTCATGATAATTGAGTTCTTTTGAGAAGCTCCACTTTTAAACCAATAAGGGATTTCAGCAACTTGAATGCCTTCAGCTCAAATAATTCTTATGCTAAAAAAGCACATTTTAGGGGTGGCAGATCCCTCACAGAAAGTAACAATGGCAGGGCAGTGAGTGCCCTTAAAAGGTGGGAAAAGTCAGAGGCTTCCCACCTGGGGCTTTCTCAAAAGCCTCCTCAGGATCCGCACAGAAGGTGCTGCAAGTCAACCCTTGACAATAACTTTAGCATCCTAGAGGCCTCTGGGATGACAACCTCACCTAAACTCAGGCAGGGAGGACAGAGGGGCAGAAGGGAAGTGGGTCCCTCAAAACTCAGTGGGCCAAGAATTGGACCTCTTCTCCCCCCAAGGTGGCTCCTTCCACCGTCTCATGTATGACCGGGCAGCCCAGAGATCCAGTCGGTCAAGCCAATGCCTTCTGCCAGCATGAGATTAACAGACTTCCAAAAAGAAAAGAAAACCGGAAGAGACCACATGCATGTCCTCCCACCTACCCACCCTAGGAAAAATGGAAGTCTTTTACTTTCCTTGTGCCAAACTTTGTTTGGCTGGGAATAGCTTCTTTTCACCAAAGCCTCCAGGCTCTTTACCAGCCAGGGGCAAACAAAGAAGCTTAGAGAACCAAGGAACAAATCAACCAAAACAGCCCACAGAGAGCTGGGACAGGAAAGCCCCATTTTTAGAAGCCAACTTCCATCCTGCCTCTCTCACTGAGCCCAGCCAGTGCGGCCTCCGAGGAAGCCAGCAAGGTAGGATCTGCCCCTCCGCATCAAGGCAGGCTAAAGAATCCATCCAGAGAACTTGTCCCTTCCCCTCACCCCAACTCCGTCTTAAAATTACTAACATTCACTTAGAAAGAAGGGGGCGGGAAGGGGCTCCAAGCTAGCCCTCTTTTCGGTTTGCCAGGGAAGAGCCCCACCCCCTCGGCACAGCAGGTGCACCCTGCTCACAAAGCGCAGAGACCGTGTGGAGCTGAAAGGCTAGGAAATTACTTGTTCTCTTTGTCAGCTGCTCCTACAGGCCGTGCAAATCCGCCTTGGAGAGCAATATTGTGTCCCTTGGTTTTAAAAAAAAAAATAGGAGCAGGAGAAAGGTTTAAGGTGGGGTGGTGGGAGAGAATGGGGGAGGGTTGGGAAGCAAGCGTGGAGAGGACTTGGGCGCCAACGTCATTTAGGAAAAGCGATGGGACCTGGTGGCTGGATTAAAAGGTTCATTTTGAACTTTTTGGAAAACTCCAGGTGCACATCCTTGGGCTGCATGGGCAGGAATGGGGTAGAGATGACATCCAGAATGGCTAAAACACACAGCAGAGTGACCAGAGAGCAGCTCTAAGAGAAGCACACTCTATGTATATTAAAGAAGAATGAATTTAAACTATTGGTCACACCTGCCTTCTGCCACAGAGGAAGCTAATCAATTTTAAACTCCTAGGAGTTCCGCCCTTGGGAAGGAATGTGTCTTCAAAGTGGCACCTCTCAGTCAATTTTTCAGCCTGGCACTTGGCTACAATGCTATTGGCCAAGTGGCCACCAGCGCCTGAGTCTCAGAGTCCTCTAGTGTCCTCTTCCTGGGCTCTCAAATCTGCAGAGGGGACCTGCCTGCCTCAGCCGCCCACATGGCCCAGGCCAACCATAAGCTGACTTAGAAGACTGGACCTCACTGAACTTTCTTCCCCTTGCAAAAGTCTCCTTGATTATCAAGGGAAAGTTATTTGTTTTTTGCTTAAAAATAAAGGTAAGACAGAGGAAGTAATGGCTTCATCAGTGCTGCCCCAAGGGAGCCATCAGAAGAAGACAGGACCACAGGCTACAAAGCCAGCTGGCTGAGAGCAACCAGGACAGATGATTAGGTTAAAAGAGAATATAGAAGTATAGCAAGTGTGAATCTCTTTTTCCTCTCATCTTTAGTGTTCCTGTGAAATCTGAAAACTAAAACGACCTAAGTCTACCACAGCTTTGGGCACTAAGGACTAATGCTGCTATGTGCCACCTCCATGAGCCCCATCTGACATCCCACATCAAGGTGACTTTCCTCCTCCACGGGGTTTTACTCTTCCTATTGAAGTTAGTGGCAACTGTCTTGGCTGCTCATTGCAGGGACTTCCTAAAGAACACATTGACTCTTCTGTGGAAAACAGGTAGGGTAGGCCCCAAACAGTCTCAACTCCTTGCCTCAAAATCTCAACCCGCTATTTCCACTCAGCCCAGAAGCCTGTGTTGTGATTCTCCCCCATTCTAATCAAACTCCCCCCTGAAAAGATGCCACTTAAACTAAATGTCCGATTCTCAGCTCATTTACTTCTGAATATGGCTGAAGCCCTAAGTGGGATCTCCCTGATCACAATAAACACAGGTTGTTTGAGGAACCAGCATCAGCTGATGGGATTCAGAATAAAGGACTGCCTAAACTCTCCTTATCTGCCTAAAAGCAGATCCCCCTAGAAGAATTCAACTACCATAAAACTCCCCCCAAAGTTCATAGTCAGCAAAGATCGATTCCTATTACCAGACAGAAATCTAGTATAGCACCAGGATAAGAAATCAAGGAAACAGACACTGTCTCAAGACCACCACACCTCCCACCTACTCTCCTAAGGGCCTACTTATCTTTCCTAAAGGCCATTTTTTTTCCCATAAGTGCCCTTTCTCCCCCTCATATTCCTCAATTAAGATGTTATAAAGCCATAAATTCTAACAACCTCTTTCAATTACATTTTTCTGTGAATTCTTATGTACATAAATGAATAAAAATCTATCTGTTCCTTGTTAATTGGTCTTTCATCAGTTTAATTTTTGAGTTTTCACCACAGAGCACAGGAGGGTAGAGGGAAAGATTCTCCTCCCTTCGATACAACAAATTAGAGGACAGGCATGTGTAGACAAGACCAGTAAAGAAAAAGTATCTACCCATCATGAAAGTTAGTGCAATACTAACTAGTAGGTATTAAGCCACTAAAGTCAAAGTTACTGAGCAGGCAACGTTTTGAATACCTTTGGCATTCAACAAAGGTGTATTTCCAGATCTTTATCAATTCCCACATTCAGTCTCTTCTATGAAATTTCTAATGCCTAAGAACTTCATTCATTAGACTTGTTTGTCCATCAGCAGTCCTAACAGCTACATTTCTTTCCTAGACCCATTTCCTTTTTTTCCTATTCTTTTTTAAATTAATGAGTAGACTTTATCTTTTAGAGGACTTTTATTTATAGAAAACTTGAAGAAATAGGGCAAAGTTTCATCCACCCGCCACTCCCCATCCTCCATCTCCCCTACTATTAACATCTTCCACTAACATGGAAGTTGTTATAATTAAAAGAGCCAATAGTGACACATGATTATTAACTGAAGCCCATGCTTCATTCAGATTTCCGTCCATCATTATTAACTAAAGTCCATACTCTTATTTAGATTGGGTTTTTAATCAAGACTTCTTTTTCTGTTCCAGGATCCTATCCAGGAAACCATGTCACATTTCACTGTGTGTCACTTTAGGCTGCTCGTGCTGTGGGAGTATGTCAGGCTTTCTTCATTTTTGATGACCTTGGCATCTTTGAGGAGGACTGGTCAGGTATAATGAAGACATTCCTCCTTGGGGATTTTTCTGCTGATTTCCTCATAATTAGCCTGGGATTATGGGTTTAGGGAAGAAGATCACAAAGAATGAGTTTTATCGGTCAGATCAAGGGCACACTGTCAGCGTGATTTGGCACTGCTGAAGTCGACCTCGACCACCTAGCTGAGGCTGTGCTTGACAGGCTTCATCTGACAAGTGCACCAAAGTTACTCTTCGTGCCTCTCTTCCATAGTGTACTCTTCAGAAAGTGGTGGCTTAGAGCAGCCCACACTTAAGGAGGGAAGAGTCATCTCCCATTCCTTGAAAATTCAAATATCTATATAAGTTATTCAAAAAATTTCCTGACAGGTTTGCTCTTTCTTTCTACTTATTAATTTACTCAGACACTAACTTATATAGGCATGGACCCACGGATGATTATTCTATGCTTTGGTTCATAACCCAGGACTACTCTTTCATAAAATGGCTCATCTGGTGGCAACTTTGCCATTGAGAGCTTGTGTAGCTTTCTTTTTTGGGTGCTGAGACAAAATACCCAGCACCCAGAAGTTGAGGGAGGAACAGTTTATTTGACTTACAGTTTGTAGAGGTTTCAGTCCATGATTAGCTGGCTCCAAGACAGAATGGATGGCATCAGGCATCACAAAGGAGTGGGCCCAAAGATAGCAAAATAAGAAAGAGAGCTTATTAGCATCTTTCTGCTCCTTTTATCTCATTCAGGCTATTCAAGGTAGGTACCACTCACACCCTCAATCTTCACGCCCTTGATTTTAGCATTGCACCATGAATTAATTCCAGTGTCACACACGCCAGATCCACCCACCACTGAAAAAAACCCACCTGTGACTGCCACGAGGCTTTGGGAGGACATCTAGACCCAAGCCGTAACAGAGACCTTCTGGCTCTCTGAAATGTCCTCAGAGTTGTGGGGCTTTGGGGATTTTTTTTAATAAGAGTTTTCTTCCTTGCTAGAGCTATAAGATGCTCCCAGACATCTTGTACATTTCCTGTCCTAGACATAGAATCAGCTGTTTCTCTAAGAACCTACTAGACCATTTTTCATGAAGAAATTCAGTTTCTATTACAACACAGAAGAGTTACAGTGCAGACAAGAACAGGAGAGAAAAAAAGTCGAATTGAGAAGCTGACGAAAGTTGAGTGATTGGTCTTCAAGAACTGCCATTGAGGTGGCTCCTTGGTGCCTGAATGCCCAGGTATCCTGGTGATAAGTGCAACTCAGATTCATGCTTCCGTCATGCTTTTTTTTTTTTATCTGTAATATCTTACCATTTGTCTGATTGTGCATTTGTCTGATACATTTGTGTGGAATTGTTTTAGAACTGTATGCCTCAATAAATTACAATGTGCTTCATGCCATTGTCATTCTAGAACTGTTTGGGAATAGTTCAAACTACAAATGTTAAATTCACAGATTAAAAAAAAAAAAAAAAAAAAAACTCCAGCAACAAACAAATAACAACATCCAGGTTGTACTACCCTCCTGTACCCTGCACTCAGCCAATGATCTTGGGTCTGGGGGCAGTACCTTTTTTTTTTTTTTTTTTTTTTTTTTTTGTGCCTTTTCCACCTTCTATATCCAGCTCAAACTTAGGGCTTCTTGCACATTAAGGAAGCACTCTATCACTGAGCCATACTCTCAGCCCCAAGACTGCCATTTGACTTATGATAAACCCATTTCCTCTGGGCTCTGTTAGCTGACTGAATTCTTACTACAGAGTTAATGATTAATATCCACTGGCTTCTTAATTACATATGTATTTTAATAAAGGCCTTTGAAAATTTTAGAAAGCTAAGATTTAAATCTAGTCTTTCTGGCTCCAGTGTCCATGCTCTTTAACAATATACTGCCTCTGAATACCATAATTTTAATTTATTCTACAAACATTCATTGAGTGCCTGCTCTTGGCCAGCTTCTATCTCCAACAGATGGAGGAAAATGTATTACTGGTGTGTTTGGGCAGGCTCAAAGGCTCGTGCTCAGGCCCTTGCCATGCTTTCCTTTCCACCCTCAGATATCCCATCTGCAGCTCATGCACATCCTCCAGAGGGACCCGTGGCCATTCCCATCATGCCCTCTGCTCTCCTGCCTCTGAGGGCTTGTCCAAGCTGCTACTAAAAAGCCTTCCCTCCTCCTGCTACCCAGTGAAGTATTTCCTCCATAAGGCTCAGCCCTAATCCTATCTTCTCTATAAAGTTTCCAGAGTCCCAAGATATGATCCATCTCTCCTTCTCTTGTGTGTGTGTGTGTGTGCTTTCTTTTTGCTTTTATTATAGACATCTGGTGGATGGTGAGTTTCTTAAAAACAGAAAATGTGCCTTTTCCACCTTCTGTATCCAGCACTAATAAATATGCACAATATAACACAGTAACATGATGAGTGCTCTAAAAACATCTGTTGAAATGGATGAATGACATGTTTGGGAGCCCTTAGGAACCTAACTCTATCCTAGAGACACTATTCCAGTTTTCAAGAAGTTGATGGACTAATTGAAGAGATGCTAGAGAAAAATAAAACCCACTGATAGGAAGGCAGGAGATGAGACAGAAACACAGCAACTAAAGACCTACATTGTAGTCCTTGGCTCCAACAGTAACTCTGGAACAGGCAACTAATTGCATTTTTGTAATAGGGTCTTATTGTGCAGTTCAGACTGGCCTTGAGCTCATTTTGTAGTTCAGATTGGTCTCAAACTCAAAATGATCCTCCTGCCTCAGCCTCCCAAGTGCAGGGATTACAAGTGTGTGTCACAATGCCTGGCTATCCACTCTTCTGAGCTTCAATTTCCTCCCCTTAAGAAGCAGACTGAAGGGGCACAGGTTTCTCCCAGCTCAAACAGCTATAATGAGTCTGTAAGCAGATCGTGAATAACATGAACATTTCCTCCACAGTATGATAGGGTTCAGGACATGATATCCCACGCTGTCATGGTGCTTTGGCATTTAAGAAAACAGAAGCAAGGTCATCACTCTTCTCTCCCCCCACCCCATGTCTCTCCCTTGAAGCAGATCCTAAGATACTTATGAGAAAGGTACCTCCCTATACTCAGAGGACAGGAATGACCTTATCTCAGGAGACACCAGGGTAGGGAAGAATCAGAGCAAACAGGCTTTGCTAAGTTCTTGGACTTTGTTACCATTCAGTTACACTCTCTTGTCTTATCATATTTATGCATGACTGTCAATTCCTCCTCAACTTAAGCACAAAAATGCACACGTTTCCCAATGTCTTCGGGTGTTCATTTCCAAAGGCTTCTATGTCCTGTAAAACCTATATTAAATAAATTTGTATGCTTTTCTCTTGTTAGTCTAACTTTTGTTATAGGGTCTCAGTGGGATCCTAGCACTGGGTAAAGAAAATAAACCTTTTCTTCCCCAGGTATGTCCTATAAGATGAGCATGATGATCCAATCTCTCAGCCCAGGGCTGCAGAAAGTTTCTCTCTCTGTGCCATCAACAAGCCATGAACGATGATAAAAGATGAAGTCAATAAAATACAGATGTACACACTTTGGGAAAGTGTTGCAGTATTGGTGAGTTATAATGACAGATCAGCAAGAGAGGGGCAGCTCTGAGTGGAGCCCAGAAGGAGAGCTGGGAAGGAAGAGGTGATTAGGGCTTACCCATCCATGAATCTGGCCGCCAACACCATCATTAGAACCATTCACTCAAGTACCAGCCTGTCCTTTTCTCAGCCTAAAAATCTCCCTCAGAGCCATCCAACAAGTCTCACTCTGATTCTCCAAAAACTGAGCAACGTTCTAATGACTAGTTTGGCTTTCCAATTTGTGGTATAATGAGAGAGGGGAAGTTTTCCTCCTTTAGCAGCTGGAATAAGACTTCCTCTCAGGGACAGTCCTATATTTGCTAGAAAGAAGTCTGTTGGTTTGCCATGTGGGTTAAGAAAGGCAAATGTAAGCAAAAAAAAACATAGTGCCATTCTGCCTTCTTAGGTTAGGTTTCAATATCTGACAGTCCTTTATGTTGTGAGCATGCCAATGAGTTCAAGTCTATAAGCTTGACTATGAGTTCAGTCACAGTGAAAACTACCTGGCATGATGAATATGTAAGAATTTCAAAATTACAGGAAAATCAGAATTAAGGGTATGCAGGGCAGAAGAAACACAGCAGCCAAAGTCATTGGGCCCTGAGTGGAAAGTAAAGAGAACTGAGAGAAAACAGAAATACCTATGAGGCGCCAGGCATGGCCAAGGCCCATGTGGGCTATATAGAGAGTCCCTGTCTCAAAAACCCAAAAAAAGAAAAAAGGAAATACATATCTAATGGGGATTTTTATTTGCTTGTTGTTGAGTACATGGGTGTAAGTCTCCTCCATTTCCTTGATGAGCAAGCTATAAAGTCTCTGCTGTTCTTTTGAAGACTTTTCAGAGTTTCTAAATTTTGCCTCCAGCTTGGCCCAGAGACTACATATACAACCATATCATGCAGAGTGGAGGGGATGGTTGACAACCAGGTTTTACCAGCAGAACAAAGGTCGAGGCAAGGATCCCCTGGGTATGATGCCCTGGGTGGTTGTCATAAATATCACAGCATCCCAAGATAACACCTGGGCTTTCTGTGACATGAATCACCCGTGATGGGAGTTAGATTGGGTTGCATCAGTCTTCAAAGGAGTATCATCTGGGGAAAGATCCAGCTGGGGAACAGGCAGGGGAATAGTGCATGGATTTATCATCATCAGTGCAGATCATGCCACCAACTAAATACTCTGAAGGTCTGTGGATGGATACATACACCCAGACCTCACTCATGACCTCAGTTGTTAGTATTCCAAAGCTGAGAGAAGACTTCCACTATCCAAAATGTTCACAGGGCTGGGAATGTAGCTCAGTGGTATTGTACTTACCTGGCATGCTTGCAGTTCTGGGTTCAAAATGTTCACACCCCACTGTATACACACACACACACACACACACACACACACACACACACACACCAAACACCAAACACCACTATTCTCACAAAACTTCCCCATCTTATTCAGAACAAACAGCTCCCTATAGCTTTCTAACTAGTACCATGTGGACTGGCTCAACAATTCCGTCATTGTTAGAACTAGCCCCAAAAGAGGTGATCAACAAAGAAGAATGGACAATGGCTCCCCAGAAATCATCTCACAATCTGAGAGTTCGCTGACTTGTTTTGCAAGTAGACAAGAACAAGGAAGAAACAATGCTAAAAGAGAGTCATCCGAGCTGGAAAACCCCTACCCTCAGAGTCCCATATCCTGTTCCACCTAAATTAGTAATTACTTTAAGGGATTAAAGAAAATGGCACATAGAAGAAGGGGAAACCCACTAGAAGGCTAGAGACACTGGATACCTCAAAAGGTTGGAGCATCTGGCTTTATGCATCCCTGTGGTAAGGGAAGACCACACCAACCTTGGAAGCACCAATGGCAGCTGTGCAGAAAGAAGCTAAGATCAAGAAAATGCAACAGCAAAGAGCAAAGGGAAACATAAATCAAAAACTCCCCAGTAAGGATCAGATACTGCTTTCCTGAGCATGCACACATCCTCTGCCTAAGTGAACCAGTCTGAAACACAAGTCATAATAATGTAAGCCAG